TATAAACCTAGTTACTCCTACAGCTATCTATGGGACACCATCTTGTTGACAACCAAGAAATGGTCCGGTGTGTAACAAATAAAATTGCAGCGAGTGAGGTAAAGCGACCAAAATGATTCCAACATAGAGACGTTTTGAGCCTTAATTAGGGATTAGTAGAATTGGTAAGTAACTGGGGCTATAAGCAAGCTATAGAGGGAGAAACCCGGACAACTATGAAGCTGTGGTTGCTCTCCACTCGATATTGGGAACAACAACCCACAAGTGGCTAAAGAATATCTTTTGTTCCTCTTTCCAGGGGCCGTCCCTGGTTTAAAAAAAAATATTGAGATGGCTGTTGAACATGTGGAAACACCACCGGGTTTTTGGGATGTTGAACTCCCAACCTGAGGCCATCCACAACTGGGGAATGTTTGATGTGTGTGACTTTTTCCAACATTTACAGACAAGCTTGGAAGCTTGGAAGTTGTGTCAAGTTCCATCTCTCTTTTCTATTTCAATCCACCGATTTTCGCTCCTTGTTCCATCCCCAACAGCCTTGGAGGCATCTGGAGACGAAGTCTTTAGTTTCGGAGGCAGGGTGATAGCCTTGAACATGGACGTTTTGGGGAGCAAGATGATCCTCACAACGAACTCAGAATGATGGCCTGGGGCCTAGGGGAAATCAACGAAAGATCCCAGGGGTTGCTCAATGTCACATTTTGGTGACTGTAAACAACACCTTTTTCCAGCTGAACTGCGCTTGGAAGATGGCACAGGACTTGGGCTGAGCGGTCAAGCTCTAACCTTTGCGGAACGGGCCAATTTGAAACGTGAGGAGCCTACGGTGGGGCCTCCAGAGTGGCTTATCTAGTGGACGTTCCGAAGATAGTCATAGTCCCTGGGTAGAAAGAAGCCTCTCCAAATAGCTTGACATCGTTCGCTGTCACTTAGCAGTGATGTGAAAGTAAGAAGACCGCGGTTGGGGACTGGAACAGACTTCATGAGTATAGATAGATAGAAACTTGAAGCTGGTAGACTTACACGGAACATCTATACTTAGCTGTTTGCTCTAGCATGATCCTCTGTTGAGAAATTGTCACGGGATATGATATGGCTTCAATATAGCCCCTAAAGCGGCACCTGCCACACCACATGGACCAAAACACCTGACCTGCCACCACGAAAAGTGGATACTGCAACAACACCAAGTGGATACTGCCACAGCCAACCACAGAAAAAAGTGGATAGTGCCCAATAGTGCCACGGCCAAAGGTGTTTCCTTTGTAAGAAAATGAGAAAAAACCATCAGCATGGCATGCCGGGCATACCAATAGGACTTCCACGGACCCCCGAGTCGTTGGGAAAGAAACGCCGTCGGCGGTCCCAGGCGGCGATGATCCATGGTAACCAGCAGTCGACTGTCGACTGTCTGTATAGTTCAATGTATTTCATAGCTGAAATCATACTGAAACTACTGAGTGTTAGATATGTTAAGTTAAGATAGTTTAAGATATGTTAAGATATTTTCAGATATTGCTTAGATATTTTAAGATTAGACACCCGCCTGGGCTGCAGGAGTCACCCTATCCTGGATTGTGTGGAGCCCAGCTGAGGGGTCGTCCTGTGATGTCCAAGGCAAACCCAGAAAGACACTTTTGGATCCAAAGGAACGGCTCTAAAAGCAATTTTTAAAGATTTTTAAAGAACAATTTCCGTTCTTCCTGATGTTCAACCATGGAAATGTAAGAAATCCTAAGAAATCCCCAACTTAGTCCCTGGGTATAAAAAACTGAGGTCCGGAGGGCCTTCCTGGAGTCCCTTACCTCCAATGTTGTCTGCGCGGCAGCAGATGTCAGCCTGCACCTTCCAGGCCCCTGGGAGGGCACCAGAGAGTTTTGATTCGTTTTTTGAAGGCTGTGGCAGTGCGGAATGGGTTTTGAACCCATGTTGACCAAATCAATGGGTACTGCAGTAGTGTCCTGAAGCCTCACGATGATGTCATATGATGTCATGACCAACCCCAATTTTGCAATGGCATGATATGTTCTTGTTGGGAAACATCATTCCAATAGCCGATTTTTCTTTAGATTTGGGTCTTGATGGATCAAGATCGCCAATCCCCGAAAATGGATTGAAATTGATGATTTCAGATACTTCGCATGATGATTACGGATGATTTTCTTATATTTTCTTTATGGATCCAAACATTAACTACCCTTTGGTAGTTGAACCATGTTGAACATGGAAATTCACCACGGATGTTTAATAAATCTTAGACGCAACAGAGCCACGGAGCATCAGGATGGTGCGGTGATTGTGGGTGGCAAAGGCATCACATCAGAGGCGCGCACGGAAAAAAAAAGTGCTTGATTTGTTTGACCACCAGAAAAAGGGGATGAAATTCAGAAGCTAAATATCACCAAAATGCATCAAAATGCTGGGTTCAAACACCAGTTTGACATGTTTTAACTATCCAAACATGTTTTAACTATCCAAAAACAAGATTTGAACCACATAAAATATGGAGACAAACGACAATAGTTACAGTGTTGGTTTGCGACAAGCTTCCAACATGCTTGGTGGGTTCCAAATCATGTCGGACTTTCGTTGTTTCTGGGGCCAGGGACCGGTCGCCGATCAAAAGGTGGATGGGTTTGGGTTCACAAAACATGACCAGCCGCCATTGAACCAGTCATACCCACATCTTCACATATAAATATGGGTCGCTTGCTGTATCCACCCTAATTTTGCTTCTTAAATCTTCATTTTAGTGGCAGTTTTATTCCTTTTCAAATCAAGAAACTTGGTTTTTGTACTCCCAATGAACATCAATGAACAGTAATCCATGGCTCGAGCACCACAACAACAACAACAACAACATGAGCCACGGACAAAACGTCGCTGAAGGCGCAGAGCAAGGTGGAGATGTACTCCGAAACCACGGGCTGGAAGGCTCTACCATCCCTCCTCACTGCGCGAATGCGTTCGGCTGTGGTGGCAGGCGCCGTGTGTTCACCTTTTGGACGTGGGAGGATCATGTGAAGCATCCAAGTTTGGGGTTCCCAATCTTGACCCGACGCAGTGATTCGCAGTTTATGCATGTGTTTGCGGTGATGCATGTAAGCAATGTGCTTCACAACTTAGTTACTCTTGTCAAGAAAGCAATTTAGACCTTAACATACCTTTAACAAAACCTGGTTCTGTATATATAATAATACTTGCAAATTGTCGTCGTGTTTAGGCCACAATATGCATGAAATAGCCTTGTTTTCGTCACTGCTCAGAGCAATCATGCGGTCCTGATGGGAAGGCCACATTTGATGCGCAGCAAGCTATGGACTGAGAACGACAGCTGATGTCTCCTTTGCAGGAAGCTCGACCGTCCATATAGCCATAAGAATAGGGAGTTTGTTCCTTGTTTCAAATATGTTGCTGTCCCCAGTAACTCATTGTTTTTTCAAGGTGAAACCACCACAAAAAAATGAGAAAAAGACACAACCGGCTCTTCTGGATGAAGACCCGGTGTTTATGGCTTGAGGGTCGAGGAACATTCTTGCACGCACTTGCATGTGGCGTTTCAAGCCATGAGCAAGCAGCTTGCTGCTAGGATTCGTTGTCATGTATGGTGTTTTATTCTAAATCCTACTATGCTTGTAAATGGCAAATGCTTCATGATCAGTTCATTTTTGCACCAATTCTTGCACATTTGCCATAATTCTGTGTTTGCATTTGATTGGGGGACACTGATAGCAACCCAACTTATACCAAAGACTACAGTTTTTGCCATAAACAATTGATGAAATTCCAGGATATTGCATGTTTTGCTAAAAGCCCATTGAACTGCATCGGTTGCCCATTGACCTTGGCAAGCACAGCCCAACGGGCCCATCGGGCGCAAAGTTCGCCCATCTCGACTCGCAGAATGTGAGTCGCAGAGATGCCTAGTCGGTTTGAAACTAAGACTGGTTGATGGTTCTATATTCTATGAAAGTTTTATCATATCATCATATATTTCTATGGGGATCAAGTTAAAACCACGGTACATATGATATATGTTTATATTTTATGTGCTTGATCCCCGTCAAAATTGAAATCATCACATATCACCTTTTAGGATGGTATACTGAAGTATGCTGGCGATATTTTGTACCCTTCCAAGCCAACTATGATAAGAATGATAATTTAATGTGTTTTTTTTACATATTTGGAGAACAACCAACAATCAGAATATATTCACCAGAGGCTGCCAGAGGCTTTGGAAAAAGTGTGTCAGCATGTGTCAGCATGCGTCAGCAGGCAGGGACTTTGATGTGGGACAGGACCTTGTGAAAGGTCAGAGAACCTTCGGTTTTCTGTGGGTAAACATGGCTTGAAATTCTGTACATTTCACTGGCATCGGCTATGAATGAACAGCGTACGCATGGCAATAGGGCTCGATTCTTAACTCAATGCCCCAGAAATGGACTGGAACCGAAATTACTAAACAATCCCAATTTGATAATTTTCCTTGGTCATTCCATTGGTGCCCCCAAATGGGGGGCCAGGTTTTACTCACCGACTTGTCTGACTTGGCTCCGGAGCGGCCATAGGGGCCATGAAGTCCATGAATATCTGGAGGTTTTCTAACATTCACAGAATTGGATGACGGGAAAATTTACAAGAAACCCCTATATTTGATGGTAAAAACCCATGGGTTTCCTGTAGACTTTCCCCAACAAACCAATCCATTGAAACATGGGGCTACCCCGAAATCAAATTATAAATGGATTTTCCGATTTTCCACTATAAACCATAGGATTTCAATTGGGACAACCCCCAATTCATGGGAACCTCCATATAGAAATCTGGAGGCTGCCAGGTCCAAAGAACATCGAATTTGGCCAATCCGCGGAACGAGGTGATTCACCGTCCTACCGTCAGTGTTAATAGTGATGGTTAATGGTGGTTAATAGTCATGAAACATTAAAGATGGCATTAAACACCAACAACACCAACAAGCGTCACGCAGCAAAGATCTTCATGAAACATCGACAGTGCGGCAAAATTTTGCCGCGTGTCCAGTGGATTCATGTCTGCCTGGGGCTCAGGATGGCTCAGGTTTTTTTCCGGCCCAGCTATGTGGTTGTTTGTCGTGCTCAAATGATTGAAGCAAAGAAATGGTTTGTCCATGTTTGTCCACAAAGTATGTTGTCATATTCTTGTCCCCAATACTTTGCCATAGTATTTTGACGTACTTTGACCATGTGTTGCTGATTTATCGCTTGTCCGAAGATGTTGGATCCACCCACCGTTGAGTCTGTGTTTGGTGTCACCCAATTCTGAGATGCAGCACGATGCGACGATGTACCCATCTCAAGATTTAGTAATCTTATTTGATCTTACTGCACACGGTATACATGGGTCCCCAGAAAGATAGAATACAATTTCCAGAATGTTGTATATGACTAGATGATGTTTCCTCCAGAATTTTGAAGTTTTCCAAATGTTCTATCTATTCGGAGGTTGCAAAAAATACTTTGTGATTTTCGCAAACATCCACGCAAGACCAAAAAGTAATTTACCCACTGGCGCATGCACCCTGCTTCAACGCTTGTGAGTCACCACTCGAAGAGTGTTCAAAACCCCTCTTGGCTGATGATTATATTCGGTTATAATACTATATCCATCTATATCCAATAGATTGGGGACTAAAATCATCCGTTGTGGAAAAGTCGTATTAGTCAACCAGTATCAAGGGAGTACATTTCGGGATTTGAACACTGCGCAGCGCAATTCCAAATGGTAATTTGGAGGTTTCTTCAACTGGCAGGACCCCAAGTTATCACCCCATTTTTTTCATGTTTAAAGGAGAAAACCAATGGTTCAAGTGGTCCCATTTTAAGAAATTTCACTGTACTGGAAAAATGAGTCCCGGTGCTGGCTTCAGTGGTTGCCCGTAGGCCGGTGGGCGAAACAAGACGGAAGACCTCCTGGTGTTTTGGTCGCAGCGGCTGGTACTCTGAGTGACCACGAATTCATGAAAAAGTGGTAAAAGTTTGAAGAACTTGGGCTAAGATTCGCATCGTTTGTGGTGTTATACCATTTTTTAATTCCTGGAATTAAAGTCATTCTTGTTAGATCGAAAAAAAGAACTTGAGAGGATCCACAAAGCGATGCACCAGCTCCTAAAGTCAGGCCCACTCTTCTGGTGCGGGCTACACATTAATTGAGGCAGACAGGTGGTGACTTCTTTGACCCAGGTCAGATCTTTTTTTTTGTTTCTTGGGAGAGGCTGGGCACCACCCAAGGGCCCCAAGGGTTTTGGATGGTTTTGGGGTCCCCGAAATTGGGAAACACCCATGCCAAAGTCAAAGCCTCCTTGTGATGACGCTGGCTCAGCAGGTTCAAAGAGTTGATGCCCTGCTAAGGGAGAGATGAACATAAGTTGATTTGTTCGGGCTGATACCGCTTATGATGGCCACGTGAATCCCAGGAAATGAACATGAACCCCACTCCACTAGCCAGTATAGTAGGCTGTAGAGGTACAATTGTCAGCGGCTCAGATAGCCCGGATCACTTTCCAGATGGTGGCGAATTTGCAGCCCGGCGCCACATTGGAAGACGCCCAAAAGTATCTTGAGAAGTATGAAAAGGCGGTGGGTCGAGAAGGACGTAAACATGGAGGTTGGTTCAGTCGAATCCGGGGTCCTACCTACTCTCTTCATGAGAGTGCCCTGACTCAAGCAACCATCGTGAAGGAGCCTCTGGCCAGGGCAGAGCTCGTTGCGGGAGTCATTGATTCTGGGTGATTATAGCCATACGCTTATTAGTAGTTCTCAATGCTTCTTATGTGAGACTTATACATGACATATATTCTGTCTTATATATTCTTATATTACTATTTACACATATTTACCACGTAAGCGTAATAACTCCAGTCACATTTATGAAGGTTTTTTACGCTTTTCGCGTAGAGTTCCCAGGCTTTCCCGTTTGTGCTTCCCCAGCTCCCAGGATTGTATTTGTGATGGCGGGATCATGGCTGCTCCTGGATTTGACTGGAAGAGTCTCTACGCCGAGCTGAAAAGGGCCTTTCTGGATCTTGCAGCAGAGGTCCAGCAAGGGCTGAGAGACAAGACCGAGACACAGGACCGAAGATGTCGGTTGGTTTGTTGAAGGTTTCAGATGCTTTAAGAATCTGTGGAATATGTATATTATATAGAGATGAATAGATGAATGTGTTTTTTTGTATTTTTTTGTTCTAAGTCTATTCCCGTCTTGAATTTGAAATGGAATCGTGAAATGTTCTAAGCAAATTGCACTCATAATTGAATCATATTTGATAATTAAATTATCATGTCCCATATGCTTTCCGTTTCATCCATCCATTTCTTTACAACTTGCTGCCCCCCAGTTAGAAGTTGGTTAATAACCATCATTTCTACTAACTATAAACCCAAGTGAAATTGGAGTTATCAACGCAGCAACTGGGCGAAGGTTTCCACCTGTGGCATCAGCTTGTAGGACTTCATTGAGTCCTTCCTGCAGCTGATTGAGAACAACAGCTGGAGCTACGTCACTGGTCCTCCGGAGCACAACTTCGCTGCAGAGGTCCTGGGCGATTGGGCTGCGCTGTGCCAGGAGACCCGGAAGGAGCTGAACAGGGAGCTGACGAAGGAAGAAAGGAAGGCGCTGGAGCGGCAGAAAGTGCAGAAGGACCGGGATTTCATGGGGATTTACCCTCTGGTAAATAAACATAGACCCTGAAAGTCATCAATTTTTAATGGGAACTAGTCTTCCAACCCCTATTTGCCAGGGTCTATGTTAATTTACCAGAGGGTAATAGGGGTTCTATGGGAATTTGATGTGGATTTACTGGCATCAATGGGATAGTTATTGCCAATATGGGACTGGTGGTGAGTAATCGCCTGAATTTTGGTTATGCTTCAAAAGAAATCAACATAGCGTATCATAGCTTTGTTTGAATATAGGGTACTGTCGAAGAATCATTCTCCCTGTTTGAATGACTACTACTAATATATATATATATATACATTGTAACCTCAAAAAAAGAGAGATACGTTATTTACCGCTATGTTATTTGTCAAAGTAGTATTTAAGTTTCTTCTCTAGGCTATGGGGCACCCATAGCTGAAGCCGCAGGAGGTGGATGCAGCTGAAGCTCAGCTGGTGGAGAGGAAGAAAGAGGTGGAAACTGCCAAGCAGAAGCTTAAGGAGTGCGAAGCTTCGGAGAAGACCGCGTTGAACCTTGTGAAGAAGGCAGGGCCCATTTTTGGGCATTCTGGCACATTTGTTGTTGAATAGTAAGTAAATCTAGTAGTTCCACAGAAAAAAGATAAGAAAAGAAGAATACTACGAAACATACTGTTAAATGATGTTAAATGAATGTTCTATATATGTTTCGACTATATGTCCAAAATGTTTGATTTACCCCGGTAAATGGCCGTTAGATGATGGGGAGACTGATGATAATCTCGTGAAATTGGGGTACCCCAGCACCAGGATGGCGGCGTTATTTAAGGCGTTGGTGCCCACTGATTGAATCGTTTGTTTTACCATAAGGATGGTGATGGTGATGGTGCTGGTGATGGTGATGGTGATGGTGATTATGGTCACGATAATGATCATGATCATGATCCTTATCATGATGAATATCATTGGTTATTGATTGTTGATGATTGATTATTGATGATTGATTTTTATTTTCCATCGAACAACTGGTTTTTGTTAGATTCTTTGTTGTTCTATCCCTGACATGAGACTAAAAATAAAAACACATGGATGTTTGACATGTTTCTGGGTGACCGCCTCAAGCACCAGGCTCGGGCCAAGCTCCCCAAAGCATCCAAAAAGGCGACGCCCAAAACGAAGGCGAAGTCGAAGCCCACGAAGCCCAAAGCGGCCGGGATGAAACGACCTGCGGCACCAAAGAAAGCACAGAAGAAGGTGAAGATGACTGTGATGAAGCGACCTTCAAAGGCTAAGAGATGACCGACCTGCCCAAAGGTGGCAGAATTCATGGTTTTTTGGGCCATGGAAGGTTAATGAATGTGGTGAAGGAGCCATAGAACTTGCAGTGAGTTGAAAAGGATGCGCTGTGAGCGCAAACATCGTTGGTTGTCCCTTTAAGGTAGCCTAGAATTTCATGGAATTACATAAAACTACCACAAAAATAGGTATTTTGGGGTTCCTCAAAATTTGGAATACCCCTATTTGAGCAGTGTTTCGGTTCTTGATTTTTCCAAATCTCAGGCAGCTTTTCGAAAGAAGCCAAGCACTTAGTACGAAGCGGAGAGTCACGATCCAAATTTTGTTTTGGCAGTCGATGTTTGGAGCGCTAGTCAAGGCTGCGAGGTTTACACTATCAGTTAAAAGTTAAAATGGGTTTGTCTGAAAATAGGGTATATTCCCAATGAAATAGCCATTTAATAGGGATAATGATCAGCAAAACCATTGGGTTTAGGGGTACACTATTTTCAGACAAACCCAAATTGGTGACTGATTGCAGGTTTGAATCCTTTTTTTTTCGGCATGTGTCTGCGTTTTAGCAGCTGACAACCTGAGGATTGCCGACCGGATAGAGATGTCCTCAGTACCGAGTAAGTGCTTTTGAACGATCAGATTCATCAGTTGTTTTAAGCGTTTTCATATTATATAATTTCTATAATGTTAATATTAAATATCCCAGTTTATTATATTATACATACTAATGTGATATAATGTGTTTTGCTGCGCTTTTTCTGGTGAGACCATGTGATTTTTTGTTGATGTTTTTGGGTCACCATCACAAAGCAAGTCCGACGAGGATAAGGGGGAGAGAAAAGCGGTACCCTTCTCAGCCGGCTTCACGGGGCTTCACGGAAGCGTTGAACAAGATGCACATTTGGTTTGTCTGCAGTAGGTAACTGAACTGTTTGATACTAACATATATATATATTATATATACTAGCTATTCGCCATTGGAGGATTTTCGTAGACGGAAGCTTACTTCTAACGATGAAAAAACGACAGTGCTTGGACTGGTGGATCTCAAGTCGGCCTTCAGGTTCATGCTTCCAACAACAACGACCCTGACGATGTTCCGGACGAATCCAAGAGGACATGGTTCATCTTGTTGGAAGGCTGTCCATACTAAGCTAATTACATGAGCAATGCCAAAAATAAAGTTTTACATGGTTGAGGATTATATTGTTATATAAATATAATACAGTGCAGTAATATACAGTATATAATAATCGAATATATAACAAGTAGAATCACAGAGGGTTTTTTGGCCACTGCTCATACTATGTCCTGCAGTTCAATCCATCATTCATTTCTGTAGGTGTATAGATGTTTGGTGGTTGGTGTTTCATATTTCACGAAGTACTCTTTGGCTGTAATTGTTCATTCCTAGTTGTAATCATTACATTGGTTTGATTTGGATTTTTTGATGGGTGGAAAATGAATGAAACGGACATATAGATGCAATGAGTGACTATATAATATTGTTGAAAATTTGGGGAACCACATTGATTCTCATGTGGGATATGGATCTTATTTTCCTGTCGATCCAGGGTTGGCTGTTTTTCTCTAGCCGCAACTAGCCTAGACCAGGAGATTTGACCAAAATTTTCAGCGGATCTATCCAACACATTCCAACACCAGGGCAGTGCGCGAAGTGCTTTGGGGTTTCAAAGATATCAAAATCCCTAAGATGTGGCCTCCGGGAAACCATGTTTAAACCAACATAGCCATGAAAATCTATGGCTTCCCCCTTTCAAAATGAGCCAGAAATGGTGGCTTTTCGATAGTAAACTGGTAGCTTACTGATATTGCAGCTGATTCCCCAGGATCCGTAAGGCCAAACTGGAACCAGGCTCTGAAACCGTGGGCCACTTGCGAATGGTCATTGTAGCTATGGAACATGTAGCTATTTAGAAAACGTGATGTAGCATTAATACGGTTTAATATCTACTAACACATCTAGCTATGTAAAATGTTTGCGGTATTTGAACATAGCCATTTCAAGGTTCCAGAAGATGTCAGAAGCCAGGGGTGCAAAGAAAACAGGGACTCATGGATTCCAGTGACCTCGAGGTAATGTGGCCAACCTGCCTGTGAAAAATCGTGTAGCCCTCGATTCAGATCATAGCTGTAGTATATGCTAGCAGATATGACAAAACACCGTAAACCTCCATGAGTGTTTCAGAATCACTCCTGATTTCAGACCATACCTGACCTCAAAAGAGGCCCAAAGAGGCACGCTCCGTCTCCGGAAGACGGGCCGTCTTCCGGTGACGGCTATAGCGCCGGTCAGGGGATCTCAGGGGTCTCCCGTGGTCAATGGGAAATCCATGGGAAATCCATGGGAAAACGATAATTACTGGTTGGTGGTTTGGAACATTTGGATTATTTTTCCATATATTGGAAACAATAATCCCATTGACGAACTCCATGATTTTTCAGAGGGGTAGGTATACCACCAACCAGATTAACAATGTGGTAAAGCCATAAACAAGCCCTAAGATCACCATAGCTGGGTAACAGGATTCTGTTGTTGTTTTTTTGTTGGGGACCCCTGGGTCAAGTCGCGGGAAGACATTTGGTGGAACCACAATTATCTGTGATTTGGGTATAATGATGGTAGTAATAAGTTATAGCATACCTAGACCCTCCGTTTGTACCCTAAAAAATGTGTTTTACCCATACATGTAAGACTTTTACATACTTTTACTATTTTTTGGGTTGTATTTGGAGGGTCTAGGTATTGTATGGAAATATGGTATTGTCACATATATAATATCTGGTTGGTGGTTTGGAACATTGTTTATTTTTCAATATATTGGGAATAATCATCCCAACTGACTAATATTTTTTAGAGGGGTTAAAACCACCAACCAGATATTATGGTCTAACAGTTTTGGGGCGATGATTTTGACCCAGACTCATGTATTAAATGTGTAGATTGATATACATGAGAAATTGTCTAGGTAATGAAATATTTAGGAGCGCACGCATTTACACGGATATGCTGCCAAAATGGATCCAAATCTAAGAACATATGCAAATTCACAATAGCAGATGCACACAGAATGTCAGGAATACAATATGTATATATATATATAGATAGATATACATACATATCCCACAAACATTATTTAAACAAAGTATTTTACCCTATAAAAAAAAAGATCAGCTCAAATTTCCTCTTGGCTCCGGGATAGACTTTGGCTACCTGAGGTTCTTTGCGCAACCCCGACGAGAGGAAGCGCAAACTCCTTGCGCGAGGCTCAGTACTGCGCCACCGCTATGCGACAACTTGCTGGAAGTTGGAAGCTGATGTGAAAAAGCACGTTCTTGGGATAACCATGAAAATGGGAGATTTATCATAAATTGAAAAGTTTTATTGGCGGCCGGATTTTGAAGAATTGTTTCTTATTATGACAGTGGCAACTTATATAGTGATCCTATAGCAGTGCTAAGGATGGCCCTCTGGAACCAGGCCTGTATCGCAGGGTCTGAATTTGGGGCTCTTCTCTTGTGGAAATTGCCCTGATTTATATGGAAGATTCCTATAAATAGCGGTGCCCTCAAATCATGAAAATTCGACCGTTTTAGCGAAACCCATAGTGACCTGGGGATCCCCAATTTTAGAAAACCCTCATATGCTGATTTTGCCAACGTCTAGTGTACATTGAAGCCATATATGTCATAGGACATTCCTCTGCTAAATTGATGAACCTCTGCGGTCAAAATGCCATTGTTTCCAAGCCTTAGAATCTCTGGGTGAAGACCAGACTGGTGGAGGCCCAAAGAGAGGTCCTTCCCCAGAAGATGGTCCGGAGAGCGTGGGTCAGCATCTCAGCATATCTCAGAGGCTGCTTTTGCAGCACATGGTGCTGTCAATGGATCTATGTTAAAGAGAAGATTTACAGAAAACGATGGTGTGACAATAACCAAAGATCCGGGATTTCAACTGCAAGTTTTCCTTTCATCCACTTGAGATGCAGGTCCCAAAGTGGGGTCATGTGTGTTTCTGGGTAGTTGTGGAGATAAATTTGATGATGTGCCATGGTGTCTATTCATATGTAACAGTTTCATGTGCAGATGATTTGCAACTAATGTGGAATGTATTCAATTGCCATTTAACCTCTTGTTGTAGAGGTGGGCCAAAACCTATGATACCATACTTGGGGACATGCATCTACGAACATTAACCTGATGTTCACCAGGATGCCGCACCAGGGTTTTGACTTCTTCTTCGACAGGTCACTTGCGCAACCCGGAAGAGAGGAAGCGCAGACTCCTGGTGAGAAGCTTAACTTGCGCCACCGACTGGGTTGGAAGGTAATGATGGGATTTCGGAGATTCTGCTGCGGTTGTGTCTAAAATTGGGGTATGGCAACATATTGCAACTTTTATGAGGAATATGATTAATATGATTAATATACCACCGGATCTTGGGGTACCTTCTGATAAAGACACCCATATTGTCACAAGGCTCTGGAATGATATCCGTGTCTCGGGGATGCCGCACAATCATTGCTGTAGCTACTGTAAGTTTTCAAAGCTATAGTCTATAGTTCTCCTCACGAGTCATGGACATTCTCAAGTGTCAAAAGTCTGACTGAAACCACAGCCATTTCTCTGAGATGTTGCCCACATGTGTTGTTTGTTTGCCGTAGATACCCGGTGTCATCAAATATAGCAGCGGAGAATTCCCTCATTTAGTTCGATGTTCATTCGATGTTCGTCGATTTTCCAAGTTCGATTACAAGCTGATTTCAAGTGATGATGAACAGATACTGGTTGGCGGCTTGGAACATTTGGATTATTTTTTCATATATTGGGAATTTCATCATCCCAACTGATGTTCATATTTTTCAGAGGGGTTGAAACATGTTGAAACCACCAACCAGGATACACTGCTATTGTAGTACACTGTCGACTTGCTACATCCATGTTTCATGCAACGTTTGACCGGCATCCGCGGACGGGCCTTTTTCCATTGCACCAAGGATGGCCCCTTGGAACCTGAGCCACAAGCTCAGGCTTAGCCGGGCGGACGTGGTGCGTGCATGGCTTGTTATGTTAGTTTGGTTATATGAGGTTAGAGAATGATATGACGATAATTTGATATATACTAATTATATAAATATTTATACATTATAGTGTACACATGCATGCATTTATACATGTGCAAAAATATGAGCTACTATATAATGAGCATCTATAATATATATATACATACACAATTATACACATACACACTTGGTGTTTATCCCTGTTGCATCTCAATTGTGGCTAGTGTTCTATTTACCCTACACGGAAGGATAATGAGGAACCTAAACTGCTGTTGTTTCTATCTTATTCAGTTCCTATTCTATCCCCATGTCATACTGATTGACGTATCTATTTACCAGGATTTGCCGTTGCCACTATATTAACCATGGCAAGCCATTGCAAGCCACGCGTGGAACTTATAACCATTATCAACAACCATTGTCAACTGATACCGACTAATATTGACTAACCACTAACAAAGCATGATTCACCATTATTTACCACTATGGTCCCCAACAAGATAGGGTTTTCTTCCAGGATGTTCCTATACATGAACAATCAGAAACTACTACTTGGGGGTGCAGTTCCATGCACAAGCGATGTATAACCATAGTTGGCCCATTGTTGGCCCCATATTCCAACTGACGGGTTACGGGAGTTATTACCATGGCTATACCCATTGAATAACCCGAACTATACCCCCAAGCAGGGTAAGTTCTCATTCCCATCATTACACCACCATTTTTGATGCTTAAACTATTTACATTAATCATCATCATCAGCCACCAAAAACTATCAAACATCATCAACGAATCATTTTCCAATAGATTTTACATTAAACTATTGGAACATGTAGTTTACATCGATTTCCATTAACCACCAATAGATTAATTGACATTCATAATTTTCCAATATATTTCCATAGATTTCCATTCACCACCGATATTCCCCATCTGTTTGGACCTTTTTTTCTTTCCAGGTGCGCCGCCAGCGCAGCTTCAAGAAATACGAGGAGCACGACCGCCGAGAGGAGACAGCCAGACGCGAGCGTGATGCAGGGCTCAGAGAGCGGGGAGACCTAGGATGTCATGATCAAATGGTCAAGCTTTATGGTTTACCCTCTGGTAATTTAACATAGCTATTGAAAATGGCTATTTATAGTTGATTTACCTATTAAAAATGGTGATTTTCCATAGTTATGTTAGTTTACCAGAGGGTATTTTCCCCGCATGGGAAATTTATCCACATAAAAATGGAAAAAATAAATCCATATAAAGATGAGATGTGTTCCATTATAATAAAATTATTTTCCATTATAAACCATGGTCAAGTTATATGTTCCAATAAAACTATGGATATTACATTCCATATTTTCCCATGAAGATGGGAATTTAGCAATCATTAAGCTGTGTACCCCATTTGATGGTCGATTTTGGTTGAAGCACAGATTTTAACTCCGACCAGTTTATTGTTTTAGTAAGCTAAAGAGGATTTGAATATAGTTCGGTGGTTCCAAACAACTGGGAAATGAAGCTCCGAAAATAGCTGGTTGGTGGTTTGGAACATTTTTTATTTTCCATATATTGGGAATTTCACCATCCCAACTGACTTTCTTATTTTTTGGAGGGGTTGAAACCTCCAACCAGATAATGATGCAGTACGATGGGCATAGATCTTAATGAATATCAATGAATCTGTCAGGGACAGGAACTGGGACAGTCCAGAGGAGTTTAGTTGGTGTTGGTGTCCACTTCTGGCAAAATTGGCGGCCTACATACCTTGCCTGTAGTTGTACAATAAATGAAAAGATTTGAATGGTGATTTACAACATTTTACAACCATATATATATATATGGGTAAATTATAACGACCTCACTGCGACCTCACTGGAAATCATGGTTAATAAGGGGAATCATCCCCAAATGGCCGAACTATTCAGGTTAGTGAAATTTTGCAAAATTTACCCAGATATATTATTCATATATCAATAAATAGTTATTATGGATAGAATATATATATATATATAAATTATATTAATTCAAAGACTGCATCTCGATGTTCAACCCTACTGGTGGATTTTTCGGGGTGAAATTCGGTGAAATCACCAAACTGGACTGGGATGCACTGGCATGCGTAGCGTTTTTTAAAGGTGCTATGAATCTGGCAGACAAGCTACCCTCTGGTAAACTAACATAACTATGGAAAATCACCATTTTTAATGGGAAAACTCACTATATATAAATGGCCATTTTCAATAGCTATGTTAGTTTACCAGAGGGTAAACTTGGTAATGGGAATCCCATTTGGAATGGAAGCAATGTCTCTACAATTCTCTCCATGTCATGTCATTGGAGAATTCTGTGTTTCCCTCTATTTTGGTGATTTTGATGTCAATGTAAACGTAGTTGGATACAACATACATAGGTTATTTGGGGGTATGGGTAAAGACCCGATACTCATAGTGCAAAATTGGATTGTTGAGCATTCCGGCAACATGTTTTGTATGGTGATTCACGGTGGTGTTCAATTAACATTAAGTCACCATTAGTTCCCATTTTGGGTGTCTACTAAACATACAGGTTAAAAGAGCGTTCTTCGCCATGCCCGGCTGCGACAGTAGGGTTGGTGACCAGAAAAGTGACCTGAAATGGAGGACACCAAGCCGTACTGGACCCACAAACTTGTTGGTTCTCGGAATAGAATATGTGATTTAGTTGATATTCCAAGTAAAATAGTTGAATAATACTTATTATATATGATATATATAATACAATATATCATATATATATAATACAATATATCATATATATCTTACTACTGCCTATTTGCCGATATACACATCTACATCTTCAGTAAGACAATCGAAGTGGACAGTTTCCAGGGCATCTCCTTTTGTTGAGGCCGAGAAATGCGAAAAAACCGAGTTGCTGTGCCAAGGGGGCAGGGGGGGGTCGGCTGGAGGTCCGTTTAGCTTTCGAAAACGGGAGCCATGAAAACCCCGAATTCCATGAGTGAATTCTCAACATTTCCCCGTTTTTTTGAATGGCCATGAGGTGGTAGTTAGATTCCACCATTTTCCGACATACCCTTTTTGTATTTTCTTTCGGTGGGTATTGTTCAATCGAAATTGTTGAGATACAACGATTTCTGTTCAAAGATCAAAGGATATCCATGGAAACCGTGGAAGCTTTGAAAACATATTATCAGGGATTTCAAAACAACATGGTCATGATTGGTTGGTTTGCAGGTTTTTGTGAATCCAAGCAAAATTCATCAAATTTCATCAAGTTTTTCTCAATTCTTCACTATCCAAATGATATCCCCATTACCTCTGGTAAACTAACATAACTATGGAACATCACCATTTTTAATGGGAAAATTCACTATAAATGGTGATTTTCCATAGTTATGTTAGTTTACCAGAGGGTATAATGGTAATAAATAATGACTGTTCACTATCCAAATGGATATAAACAATGTAGCCATTATAAATGGTAAATTTTACATCCCATGAGATTCCCATTGGGCCCCTCCGGTGTCAGCGAAAAATGGCTGGAAAATGTCCTCATTGAGTTAGATGATTTTCGGGAACGGAATGACCTCCATGGCTAGGCCACGGGGATTTCCCACGTTTGAGAAAACCCATAGGGGATATCTATGAATATCCCATAGTTATCCCATGAATATCCATTACTATCCTTATGAAAAACCTATCAGCAATGGGATATTCAGAAGGATTCTCCCGTGAAATCCACTGAATTACTTACTTGTGCTAAACGTAGGGATTTTTTCGGGAATGATCCACTGGCTAAGTATCAATAATCCCAGCAACCCCCAGCAACCCATCCATTCCCTACCCCATAGGATCCATGGTGCTGCTATATATGGTGTGCCATGGATCCCATCAATATATCCCCTTTATGTTAGCATTAATATACCAGCACCATGGATCCGTCATGGGTACGTAGCCAGCACCTATGCACCTATATACCATAAGTTGGTTAACAAATTCGCCCCAGTAACTAGTTGGAGCACGGCCTTTATCTGGCCGTGCGTTTTCGTGCACGTTGGGGGGGTGGGGTGGGGTGGGGCATGTGTTAACGTTCATGTGAACTTGCTAGGTAAGTGGACTCGTCTCTGTGTGTGCCGTTATGTGCGTGTAGACATGGGTGGGGTGGGGTGGGGTGGGGCATGTGGTAACGTTCATGTGAACTTGCTAGGTAAGTTTTCGGTTGCTTTCAACTGATACGTCATGCTACGGAAGACTCTGCGTCATGTGTTCCCCGGATACGTGCGCTCCTGTAAGTACACCTTCCTGGGTGGTGGGCATTCAACGATGGGGGTGGTGCATGTGATTAACGTTGCATGAGAATGTCCGCTGGAAGTGCTCGTCTCTCTTTGGTTTCAACATCATTTGTAGTATGAATGCCTGTCTTTGGGGTGGGCAGCTGTTAACGTTCATGTGAACTTCATGTCAAGGTCGTCTGGCAGGTTGTGCCAAATTCATCAATACAGAACATGTTGAAATCCAGGTCGGTTGCAAGGTCGTCTGGCAGGCTGTGCCAACTTCATCAATACATAACATGTGGAATTACAAAAAATGCGTTTTCGCCTAGGCGAAATACTTGTTTTTTCATTTCATGCACCAGAATAAGGGGGTTTCTTGTCTTTGAACTCACATCAAAACAATACAGCTCGAATTAGTTGGGGAGTTCTGAGAAACATCAAAAATGATAGTTTCGCCTAGGCGCAACGATAGATTTTGATTTTATGCGCCAGAATCACGGGTTTTTCGCCTTTGAAATCACATCAACCAAAATCCTATTGGCACGAACACATCAAACATCATCCATGACATCCCGTTGATCACAAAACACCACGGCCAGATAAAGGCCGTGTTCCTAGTTCATTATTTGCGTACCATAAACCATAGTGAAATTGGAGGCCTCTATTTTGGGGTTTATGGCACGCAAATAACGAACTAGTTACCTCTATTTGGATATTTCACATAGTTTCCTTGCGCATACCATAGCCCATAGGATCCATGTATGCCATATATGGTAACATTTACCATCAATATACCCCAAATGTTAGCATATATACCATACATGGATCCTATGGGATAGTAACTATATAGTTATTTGCTTACCAAGTGAACGCTATCTATCTAACGGGGGCCAAACACATTGTATGGCTACGTCGCCAGCATGGATCCATCCCCGCCGAGGCCCTGTGGACTCCAAGGATCGTTTGGGGCGAGGTGGCAGGCCTCGTTGAAGCGTTTTGCGAACTGGAAAATCATGGAAAAGCATGGAAAACCACCATTTTTCATAGGTAAACCACCATAAACCACCATTTTTCATAGGTAAACCACCATTTTTCATAGGTAAATCGTCCATAAATGGATAAAATCATGGAAAATTCACCATGTTTCATTGGTTAAATCGTCCATAAATGGATAAATGATAACTGGAACATGAGACACTGCCATTTTTTTAATGAAGGGAAATCATTGAACTAACTGGGCCATGTTACAAAGCAAACAGTTAAATTACGAGAGGGCTACTTCGGGGGTTCCCCTGTCAGATTATGTTGGGACTATATCGGGAGCACATTTTGAAAGATATAATTTACTTATATTTACTTGAAACATGTGAATTTAGAAGAACATCCATGAGCAACATCCATGAACACAGTTTGATGTGAAAGATGAACACAGTCCCCGGGCTTTGACCAATAGATGCCCGTGGCCATTTCAGCTAATAAGTAGTCCACTACTGGGTTTCTTCATCTGTGGCTGAGTTCAGTGACCGTACATATTTAAATGTGCGTCTCAATCTTGATTATCAACACATAGAAAGAACGAAAACATGATTATATTCAGTATACTATATATATACACGGTGCTGTGTAATATTCTTATATATGTACATTACAGTATATTATATATTTATATTTTATATCCGGTATATAAGTAGGTTGATTTGAATCTCCAGCATTGTCCCGCAGCGTTTCTCGCGTTTCTCCTGACCGAGGCTCGCAGAGAAGCGAGCGCCAAAGGAAGTGCAGAAGGCCAAGGGTCGTCGGGGTCTCGGGTCATCCCGTGATTGGAATGGCTGATGAAATAGTGGTTTAACCATCAACATTTTTAGGGATAAAACATGGGATGTTTTTCATGGGATAATCCAAGAATATCCCGATGTTATGAATTAGTTTAATAGGGATAAAGAAAATAGGATATATATTCATGGATATTAATGGATATATACCCTCCGGTGTCATCAAACCTGGCTTGGGGAAATGGCCTATGAATGACCCACTTTCCATTGCCACATTTGATTATCGGAGGGTATGTATTCATAAGCCTCCAATGGGATCCAATAGGTAAAACATGGTAAAACTGGGCATGGTTTGGGAGTCAGTGTACTCAGTGTACGGTCTACAAGTCTACGGGATCGATATGACATCATGGCCCACGTCCACATCCAACCAGAGCAAAATTTGCGTGAACATTTTGTTATTTCGGAACACAAGTATATCCGATCAACATCAACCCTGCAGACATATTGTTGTTTGATTCACCATTGGTTCATACACCAATTTGATGTCCCCATATATATATATATATATATATATGAGTAGACCATATATTATATGTATGCCCAATGAATTGGCATTGGTTCATCCCACCATTTAGCCATGAAACAGCTTCAAGCACTGAAGCACCCTTTATGATGCAATGCCAAGGAGATATGGCCTCCCATGGGACATTTTCGCGACCCAGAACGGTCAAGGTGAGCAACATTCCGGAGGGCCGGGTGCTCGGTTCTCATGAGGAATATGAGGAGCCATGGAAGCTGTTTCGGAAGGCCGAAAATCATGGCATCTTGCGAGTTTCTTCAAAAGAGAGTTGAGATCTTCAATGGATTTGGAGATGTGAGAAACTCATCAAAGGCAGATAAGTAGTTAGGGCTTCTCTTTCTGTCTCTTCGGCTCAAGCAATCCAGGTTCAGAGGCTATTTTTTGAGCAACTTCGGCCCACTTTGAGTTTTGGTGGCCATGGTGCGTGGAGCAAGGAAAGCTATTGCTGTTGGGGCTGCGGTCGCTGTCGCATGCACTCTGCAGCAGCACTTGAATTTCGTTCCCGGTCCTCGGCATGCTGCTCCAGTGGCCGCGGCGGCAGCCAGCATGATGATGGCTCCTGCGGCCTTTGCTGATGAGATCGGCGATGCTGCAAAGAAACTTGGGGATGCCTCCTACTCTTTTGCCAAGGAAGTGGACTGGAACAATGGAATTTTCCTCCAGGCTCCTGGCAAGTTTCAGCCCTTGAAAGCTTTGAAAGCCATTGACAAGATGATCGAAATGGGGGCAGCTGCAGATCCCAAGCTTCTGAAAGAGGCTGCAGAAGCACATCACAAGGCCATTGGAAGCATCAGTGGGCCAAATGGTGTGACTTCGCGTGCTGACTGGGATGCCGTGAATGCAGCCATTGGTCGTATAGTCGCTTCGGTCCCCAAAGCAAAGGTCATGGCCGTTTACAATTCAGTGAAAGACATCACGGATCCCAAAGTGCCAGCTTACATGAAGTCCTTGGTGAACGGGCCCGATGCCGAAAAGGCCTACCAAGGATTCCTGGAATTCAAGGATGTTGTTGAAAAGAACCAGGTGACCACCGCCAGTGCTCCTGCAGTTGTGCCTTCTGGGGACAAGATTGGTGTGGCTGCAAAAGCGTTGTCCGATGCATCCTATCCTTTCATCAAGGACATCGATTGGCTGTCAGACATTTACCTGAAGCCGCTGCCCGGCAAGACTGCCCCAGACACCCTGAAAGCCATTGACAAGATGATTGTGATGGGCGCCAAGATGGATGGCAACCTCTTGAAGGCAGCAGCAGAGGCACACCACAAGGCCATTGGCAGCATTGATGCCAAGGGTGTGACATCCGCGGCCGACTATGAAGCTGTGAATGCAGCCATTGGGCGCTTGGTGGCATCCGTGCCCAAGGCCACCGTGATGGATGTGTACAATTCCATGGCCAAGGTCGTTGATTCCACCGTCACCAACAACATGTTCTCCAAGGTGAATCCATTGGACGCAGTGGGTGCCGCCAAGGGTTTCTACACCTTCAAAGATGTTGTGGAGGCTTCCCAGCGCTGAAGGTGAAGACCATTAGCTTGGTTTCTTTGGACATCGCTTTCCGATGCTTTACCATTTTTTAGATGTTGTATAGCACGAGCCTCTGGAACAAATGGACTAAAAATGCTACAACCGTAGCAGATGACCTGGGTTTGCTGAAGGTGATTCTTGTATGGAAACGATGGTTTATAATGGAAAATCCTATTTGAATGGATGATTTGGAGGTACCACCATTTTAGGAAACCACCATATAATGAAAAAAACAATTTGATGTGCAGTCCACCAGAACTGCGATTCTTCAACTGTTGGAGCTGCGTTGTTTGTTGTTGGAGCCGCTGATAGCGGTGCCGTTTGCCACGGCCGAGGTTTGGAATGGCGCTACATCAAGGAACTCTTTGAGAGCGCGGCGGGGAAGGTGTGGTCCAGGTGATGATTAGTTTGGGAGTTTATAAATCAGGGTTTCAACCATCAAAAATGGACTCTGGCTGGGACATAGTTGATAAATTTATGGCTGGGATAAACTACACCCAAAATAAAAGGTGAATATCCACATGAATGTTCCCATGATAGTTGATAATTGAGCAGTGTGCATTCAACCCCTCGGCCGGTCGATCATTTGATGACTTTGGGGATTATACAAATCCAATATCTAATGTTGTAATCCCAATGATAAATTTTATAAACAATCTCCAATAGAGGTTTAGGCTTTACGGTATACTGTACCTCTATTTAGGATTATGTAAGATGAAATCGTAACATGGCGGTGCGATGTCAATTTGATGATAAATGTTGATGTTGATGATGATCATTATTATTTTTATTATTGTATGTTATTCTGCTGCCGCTGCCGCTGCTGCTGCTGATGATGATGATGATGACGATGGTGATGCTGATGATGTTTGGGATTGCATATATGATATATCATCATCATCATCATCATCATCATCATCATCATCATCATCATCATCTTGACACCACTGGAGAAGGTGTTGAGGTACCAAGGGTCTTGATCTTTAATCAGTGGGGAGAGCATTGGGAAGATTCGGATCGCTGTTGCTGTTGATGGTGCTGACTTCGCCATTTGTTTGTCCAGATTTCAGATGTAGTGACTGACGACTTATATTGACATCATCTCTTTGATGTGGTATGTTTGTGTAGCACAAGGACAAGATAAGACTTGAAACTCTCCCATCCCCAAAGTGATCATACCCGTTACCCATGTCCCGTTCAACACTTCCCATTTCGGGGTGGATTTCACCCGTTTGTTTTCACAGGTTGCTCTCGAATGGTCTGACTTACTCTTCACAGATGGGTTTTATAAGCAATGTGTGCTTGGTGGTTTCAAACCTTTTTTATTTTCCATAATATATGGGATAATCCTTCCCATTGACGAACTCATATTTTTCAATATGGTTAAAACCACCAACCAGCTAGTTGTTGGTCAAAGCCTAATTGTTGTTGGGCGGTAAGTCCCCATTCTTACTGATGGTTTGAGGCTGTTTAAGGTGGTTCATATAGATGATGCATGATGATGCTATATGGGGGGTTCGGTACCCCTATTTTTGGAAACCTCCATATAGATCTGATTTTTGTCGGGTTATATTATTCCCATATTCTTGGCAGTTGAGCTCCCACTATCAGGGTTTCTGGAACCTCTCATAGGTGGTTCATAGCCACAAGGGGGTAAAGTGTTCAAATCTCTCTTTTTATTTACCCCCCAACAGTATATGGGGTGTTGGGAGCAGCCTTGACATTTGGTGGTTTACCATCCCCCATTTTTTCACATAGATCCTGCCATGATTCGGGGAAAACTACATTCCTCTGAAAGAGAAGTGATTCTCAGGTGAGGGGTGATATCCACAATTATCCATATAAATCATTAAAAAATCAACTAACCACCCCATTTTGCCGTGCCCATCTATGAAAACACCTTTTGTTGTTACCGCATTCTGCTCGCACTTTTCGGCACAGATGTCCAGGTGATTGAAGGGCACTTGGAAGACAACGGCGTTGCTTGGCTCACCTTCGAGTCTGGACCTCAGTGGTGGTGATGGTATCAGCAGGCCAATGCTACGGATACCAACGGTATATAACCAGACTTGGTATAAACAGAAAAGTAAATGCTACTGTACAGCAACAATGATAAATTGTTTTTCTATTTGTTTGGAGGTTACTATATGTATGTGCAATATGCGGAAGCTTCTACATGTATTTGTACATATGTGCATATTATTATAATATATATATATATAACATGTGTGTGTGTTTTGGATACCGTTGGATTATGATAGAATACAGTAGAATATAATGGATTCTGGAATTGTGGATTAAATGGTATAATCAGTAATTATTAGATACCAATTTAGTGATTGATGGAATCATGTTTTCAGTATCAGTATGACTCCACCAAATTGTGTGTTCAGTATCATCCCGAAATGGCATGAAAACCAGTTGCGGTTACACCATCATTCCCAGTGGTTTGTTGCTCAGTGGATAGCCTAAGTCATCTACGTCTGCGATGTTTGTTATACATTGTGTTTTCCTAATGTTCATAGAGAAGATACCCTCTGGTAATTTAACATAGCTATTGACAATGGCCATTTATAGTGGATTTACCCATTGAAAATGGTGATTTTCCATTTCGCTATGTTAAGTTACCAGAGGGTGAACCACCATCTTTTATAGGTAAATCAGTAGAAATCGCAATTGTATCTTGATGGGCCATGTTCCATAGCAAACAATTCACCATAGCCAGAAGATGAGGCCTAAATTTGAATGTGCTTCATTTGTCGGACTCTAACCCCCTACTGGTGTTGAAAAAATGGTGAGAAAAGTTTTGGAGGCTGGTGCCCATTGACAAATGTATGGTTTTTCTTGCAAGACACCCCTGTTGGTTGATGACAAATGTTTGGGATTATACCAACCAATGTATTGGAGAATATCAATCCATCCGAGGAATCCCGTTCTCAACCAACCAGTAAGCACTGCTGATTTGGGTTGAAACCATGAAACATGACCAAAGAGAGTTCCAATCGCCTGTGATTCATGCGTTGGATCATCAAACCTTGAGCAACAAAGTGTTTCCAAACCCCATGAGTTCTGAGAGCTTGGAATGGATATACTTCCCCTCCCCAAGAAAAGAAAGTGACTTGCCGGCCGGTTTTCCTGAAGTCCATATAGGTATGATTGGATTCTGAAGGTCATGAGACTATACAAATCTTTAAGGCGTTGTTAAGTCGCCATCTCCAAGTTTTTTCAACGTGACTTCGAGACATTCGACCGGCTTGACCTGACAGGAAACCTGATGCTGTTTGGATCCCCAGTAGCTACACCTGCATCCTTTCTGTAGCTTTGGATGAATGTCATATTATGCGGGATATGGTTAATATTTGCGTGATGATATCCTCAACGACTCTGTTGATGATAAAAATGTTTGCAGCGGTTGTAGCATTAAAATGATGAATTCTGCGTGCCCTAAAGCCAAAGCATATACATACATATAATATGTTCTCGATACTTCACAAGAGTGGGGTACAATCCAGACAGACAATTGTTAAAGGCATGGTGACATCCAAGTTACACATATGATATGTTCATGGTTTTTCTCAGTTTTACATAGTTATACAATCTATTATAATGTTATATATGCATGTATATATATATATATGCAATATAATATTGGTGAGTGACCAGTTCAGTTGTGACAGTTATTAACATGGTAACCATCCTCGAGGGATGTTTTTTGGTCGAGGCTTCAGAAGCGCATTTTGAGTTCGATGGAGGAGACGCCAGTTGAATGCGCAAGGCAGATTGTGGAACGATTGCGCAAGATAGAAGTTCATAAGTGTTATGATATGTATAATGTTACCCTCTGGTAATTTAACATAGCTATTGGATATGGCCCCATTTATAGTGGATTTACCCAGCTAGATAGCATGGTGATTTTCCAGTTCGCAGACTGTAAACGTTTACCAGAGGCTATAATGCTCTCATTATTTGTATACTACAAATAACAGTGGAAATCGAAAGATCCATTTTAGATTGGTCCTGCCCAGTTTCTAGCATGAGAAACTAATTAAAGTGAAACCACAACACGGGAGCTTGAACTCTGGGAGCTTGAATTAGTCCAAGATAGTATAAGATAGTCAAGTTTTCTCAAGTTATTCATAAGCTCATGTTTGTAGATGTTTTGCCAGGTGTATCGCCATTGTTTGTTTCATTTTTCCCGTTGTTGTCACCATTTTTCTTCGTCCAACCGTGGGGGTTCTTCGCCGCAACGCAGGAGAATTGGCGGACCAACCCATTCGGGTGGAACTCATTGATGATGATTGAGGGCGAGCGTTGCGCTGAAAAGTTTCGCCTTGGTTTGGCTTTTCCGGGCGTATCAAAATGGGTGGAGTGAGCCATTTGTTCCCCACCTGCCAGGTGAGGGTTGTTAGATTTTATCAGAGCTGTTCTTCTCCTCCTCGCTAGCTGTCCTCCACTGCCTCCTCCTCCTCCTCCGCCTTCTCCTCGTCCTCCTCCTCCTCCTTCTCCTCCTCCTCCAGTTTCTCCTCCACCACCTCTGCCTCCACTTCCATGTCCACTTTCGCCTTGCCAACTCTTCGCCAAGCTCTTTGCCAACTTCCCAGCTCAGTGTGCACCGCTGGACCTCAACCGGGGACCTGCCCAGCTCAGTGTGCACCGCTGGAAATCAACCGGGGACCTGCCCAGCTCAGTGCGAGCTGCCCAGCTCAGTGTGCACAAGTTCGCGTGCAGCAGAGATTTGTTAATATTTTATGATGTTTCATGATATTTTATATTATGTTTTATCCCGCAGTGATACAATTTATTTTGTAGACAACCCTTATTTGGTAATTTTTAATGATCTTTGTTTTATATTTTGTAGTGGGCAGCCATTTTGGGTTCCATGGACTTGCATTTTGTAGTGCATTTGGGGGGCACTCTCCTGGATGGATTTGTATTCTGTAGATCCCTTTTCTTTGCAAAATTACCTGTCAGTACCTTCACCCGAAATGCGCAAGGGGATTCCTTTCTTTTTGTTTATTTTTTTGTTCTTGCTTGCAACTACTGCTTGGCTTGATTTCTTTTATTGGAAATTTTTAAAATTAATTATATTTTGAAATAAATATAAATATATTAAATCGAAATATTGAAAGAAATATTTTTTAAAAAAATAATTTCGAATTTTATTTAGACCTCGTTCGTATAAATCTCGTTAAATTTATAGCTATAATTAAAATCCAGCCCGGAGAGGTTTTGTAATGGTTTGCTGCTTGGTTTGGTCTGTTGTTACTGCTATTATTGAATTCTAAATAAAATGTAATTTTTATGTAAAGAACTAAAAAATTTATAAAAGGGTTGGAAATTATACGGAAAAAAATAATTAAGGGGCTACGCCCCCTGCCGCCGACCCCTGGGAGAGAGTGAATTTGGAACCCTTCCTGCAGTGAACATCTTCCACAGTGATGGCGACCGAAGCTCAGTCAAAGTCGCTGGTTTGTTTTTATGTGTTCTATGTGCGCGGAACGCAAGCCACGAACAGAGTTTACAGCTTGGCAACAAGGTCGTGAATATACTCAAGACGGCACACATGTATGTAATGCATGCACAGCCTTTGCCTTCGTTTGCCGTTTTACTCATCGCACGAATCAACGCCTGGCCCGCTTGCGCCAACGCGAAACCCGCCACCGGCACGCAGCAATCCTAGAGGACATTCGCAAGGAAATTCAGAAAATGCACGAAGTAAGACAAACTTCCACGCGAGCAGAAGGTCCCAAAACGGACACTGCCCACTCATCGAACCAGCAGCTTGCTGTCGGGCCTGACACAGCACCGCCACGACTGCACATATACATCTGCCCGTACTGTGCTAAGTCTGTGCAAAGCCCTGTGGCAACAGGGCGCGTCGATCACCGCCGCGATAATGGCTGTGGCAAACAATTTCGCGTGCATGTCCAACATGCGGCACGGTGGTGCACTTAACACTGGCTTCCGGCCGAATTCGGGTAACGCATCGTAATCCCAGCGGCCGGCAGGGTCGCACCAACCAGTGGCGCGTGCATACCTGATGACGTTTCCAGCTTAAGGTTACCACTTCGCACGGCAATGCCCCACAGTGCTTTCTGAACCTACAAGAAAAGTAGCCGTCTTCCAGCTTTCCAGGCTCAGAAACGGCGCCTCCGCTACGCCCAAACAGCAGGGCCCTGAAGGACGGACCGAGCCTCCGGGCAACGGCTCCCACTGCCTAACGTTGCTTTCTG